ATCCCACTTTACCAATACATCATGCAGACACCTGGAAAGAAGCAATTACTGTTTTAAATAGCTATTGCAGTAATCTTTTCCCAAACAACGCTTAAAATAAGCAGAAAGCGTATTTCCAAACGTTATTTAAGTAGGTCTCGTGAATTCTGTGAAAAGCGATTAGAATAGATTTGCATGTTTTTGTAATTAATGTGTGTAAAACTAGTGTAATAATAAAATGTATCAAACTTAGATAAACGATTGTGGTCGAGCCGTTTATAGAACAGATAAGGTTATAATTTTGTGATGGAAACTTCAGCCGGTGTTTGATACGGAAACTATCATCACGATGTAAAAAAACTATATTTTGAATGACTCACAAAGTTACCAAAAAAGTAATGTTTTTAAATTATAGATCATATTAATGGAGGTTTTGCTAAATTTGAAAGAGAAACTAACGATCTTTTTACCAAATTACTGTGATGAAATATGCACCATTTAGATTCCTCAATTATTAATTGATCTGATGTAATAGATTCGTGACTCACGATTGCGGGATCCAATTAGTTTATGGTTTCTAGTGTTACCATTGTTTTTATCGTAGCATAGGAGTGGTGATAAATTCGTAATATTTTTAATGGAAAAGGACACAAAGAGTACCACGGAACAAATTACAAGCTAGTTTATTTGATAGCTTGTAATTCGATGTTCCCAGAAATATAGTAGACTAGCTGACCCTGTGAACTTCGTTTCACCTAGAATTTAATTTTGAATCTGCAAAATCGAATGCTTTGAAATCTTGCAGATGTTTTAAACATATGATAAGCATAATAAATTTTTATTCAAAATATATTTACTTATCCCCTCCAAAAAATTGATGACGTCAGCCCAAAATTTTGCCAAATGAATCCTATCTAAAATGTCTAAAATAGGATGAGACTATACTTATGATTTATCATTCCATTCATATTTTTTACTTTTGCTTATAGGGGGTGTCTCAAAAAAATTAATCACTGAGTCAATTTATTTTATTGATTTAATCAAGAATTGCAAAACTGAATTTTAAAATATTGCAGAGGTTTTGAAGTTACTGTTTGTTGACATGGTAGGTTTTCAATCAAAATATATCTGTTTATCAAGCCCAAAAACTTGAAGACGCCGTCTCAAGATTTTGCCGACTAAATCCTATCTAAAATGTGGAAAATATCATCAGTATATTTTCGTAATTTATCATTGCATTCATATTTCTTAAATTTGCTTTTACAGTGACTCAAAAAAATATATGGATCAGTCAATTTATTTTAGTGAATAACTCAAGAGTTGCAAAAATGAATACTTTGAGATCTTGCAGACGTTTTAAAGTTGTTGTAAGCATGGTAAATTGTTAAGAATATTTATTTATTGCCCCCAAAAAATTGATGGAATGGCTCACTCGATTTTCGCAGATAATTTTGAGAATACAATACAGTTATTTTTAGTATTACACTGCACCAATCCAAGGTGGTATACGTGTTGATCGTAAATGTTGATTAGGTCATCACAAAATTGTGTGAAGAAAAGACTCAACTCGAAAATGCTGAATATGTTTCATTATACTTTTGGCGCGAAGGAAGTTCTGTCGAAACAAAGTTCGATCAATTTTTTGACAATGGTTGATATAAATAAAACTCAGTAGATGCTTATACTCGAAATACGAAGTATCTACTCGAATATCAAATCAAAATATTTCTAGTTTTTCTAGATGACACTAATACTTCAGTAGGTACCAGTTGATGCTCAAGTAGCATCTCGATACAACAAAAAAGGACAACAGTGACAGTGTTCAACCATCAAAGCAAAAATCGAGTCACCAAAATATAAGTTAGTCTGGGGTAGACACCTTGAGATGGGAATCTCTATGGCCAGTGTTATAAAAAACGCACTGCACAATTTATGCATAAATAAAAGTTAATTACCTGAAAAGTTTTCGATATTCCTGCTCCTAATGTGTTTTTCAAACTGAATGCACCTTTTGACGACGTTCCACGTTCATGAAAGTCGCCATGTTTAGTTAAAATTCACTCTTACAACGATCCTACTCGTTTTCTAAGCTGCTTTACAGACAGCTCAGTTATTTGCCACGCCGATCCTCATTTTTAGATTAAATGCTCACAAAACGCGTAGATGTTCAATTTGTGTCCGGGGAGATACAATGTTTCCAAGTACGTACTCAGTACATAGAATAGATGCTCAGGTATATAAGAGTAATAATGAAGTAGGTACTTCGTACTTCGAATATTAGTTTCTACACAGTTTTAATCATACCACCCAATGTCTCCCTTCGATATTTGATTATGTTGATTATGAGCACAACGCTGATCAACTTCCATATCCGAATTACCCATGAAATAAATCATTGCGGTTTGCACCTGAGGTAGTTCGTCGCACATTTGATTGACTTCGTGGACCTATGTGAGGTTGTCGTCTTCTCGGCATTTTAATGAACTTCATAAAACGACACAATTATTTTCACAGTCAATCAAATCTGTAAATTTTTTCTTGAGAATTTTAAAATATTGAAAACTTCAAATTAAATCCTCGAATAACGGTAAAGTTTGAGGTTTTGTCGAAACCAACAAAGTGAATATAGGTAAATAGAATGGCAGATCAAAATTAATAAGAAACTTTCGCAATGTGTAATTAAATTCACTTTAACCAAGACTTTTCTTAAAATAAACGACGTTTTTTTTTTACGAAAAAACAAAGAACGATTTGAAATGCAATATACTTTTCACAATTGCACGGAAGAATTAGTTTTGTATGACACGTCAGTTAGACGACAGGTCCGTCAGAAACGCCAACTATTGAAATTAATTCGAAGTGGCGATTCCCATACAAAATTTTTAGAATTTTTTTATTTTTTAACTGTTCTTTTAAGTTTTCCTTATTTTTTTTATTTATAAACCATCCCCGTAATATAAAAAATTCTTCAAATCGGTCAAGCCGTTTTTGAGTCTTAGCGAGACTAACAGGAACAGCAATTGATTTTTATTTTATAGACGATTAAAAAATGGGGGTTGGTGGTTGAAAGGTGAAAATTTAGGGTTATGTGTATTTTTTGATGCCAATTCTTAAAAAAATAAAAATAAAAAATTTTGTCCAAAAAATAGACAAATTTTTTTTAGGGTGGGCCACCCTTATCACTTAGGGGTTTAAAAAATAGTTTACAACCTATTCTCAGACCTACCGAATATACATAAAAAATTTCATACAAATCGGTCAACCCATTTCGGAGAAGTTCTGTTACAAACACTGACGCGAGAATTTTATACATAATGCATTATTATTTTAGAACAAATTTCATTACCTTAAAAAAGGTTATACTGACTCGACCTTAAAAGATAGACATATGCTGTCGTGGACTTTTCTTTAGAACTTTTAGAGGGGAACAATTTCGTCATACATGATTTTTACGTAACTTTAACCGTTTAAGCAGCGTAAGCAACGGAAGCTGTCAAAGGAGGAATAATTTTCCCGTTTTTCCGAATTTTTCATTGCTACTTCGCTCCTAATGATCGTAGCGTGATGTTATATAGCCTATATGTAGATATGATACATGGACTATCCAACACAAAAAGATTTTTTGAATTTGAACCAGTAGTTTCTGAGATTAACGTGTTCAAATAAACAAAAGCTTCAGCTTTATTATATAAGTATAGAAGTATAGATATAGCAAACCAATCAGTACTTGTACGTCATCGGCAATTATGTCGTCATGCATCTAATTGTCAGTTTGTTCTTGTAATATTTATGATTATAGATTTAATAGAATAATATTATGAAGAAAAGACTGAGGAATGCACAACATAGTGCAGAATTATTGAATAGGGCAAAAGGAAAAACCCTCTATTTCGCACATTTCGTAGTGTTCTTTGACCTGAACTGTCAGTAGCATCTCAATCTCAGTTACAAACAAACTTTAAGTTGGTGAAAGCCAAGAGTTGCTTGTAAAAACCCACCTGATAGATGATGTAGGAAATAGTTGCCACCATACGTGTACGTGCTACGGAATAATGGTGATTTAATTTCAACAAATGACTAGGAATTGTGTTGAAATGATTATTATATTGGTTTAGCGTCGGAAATCCAGGTCATTTATATGTCGATGGAAACGACATTAAACTCTACGAACCTACTGTTCCTGTTGATTAGAAGACACGTATCTTGGAAGCCCCAAACATCCCATCCATCAGTGTATTGTTCCAAAGTGTCAGTACCTAGATTGGTTTTTTGGGCTTCCTTTTTCGTTGCACTAGAACTGTAATGTCTTACACCCTAACGGCAGCCAGTACGTTTTTTTAATAAAATACTCAATGACAATAATACTTCAACCTAAACAGGGTTAAGGTTTATATCAGTGCCCCGTGTCAACCTAAATATTAGAAGAAGATAAGAATTTTCATAAAGTAATACGGTTGGTAATGGAACAACGTTCTTAATATTAGTAACTTAACATACTGATTGATTGCCTCTCCTATATAATAAGACAAAGACAACTTAGCTAAAGGTCAAAATAACTTTGAAAAAGAATGAATGTCGTTGGTTATATTGTCTTCTCTAATTTATTTCACACAGCGGGAATATCGGGTTAGTTTTGTCTTAAAACTTCGGATTAATTTACAACTATAGTGTTAACTATTTAGTGGTGTATAGTTGGATATTTATTGTAAAGTAAGCATTTGAATGGATCATAAAAATTGATGGTTCTGAGTAATTGCTCTATGTTTCGTTTTATTACAAATCTATATTATGTTTTATTGTTACGTTGTAGTCATTTCGACCATTTTCATTATCTTTTTCTATTACAACTAAGCCATATTTACTAAAAGCACGTAACACTTTATCCTCATTTCTTTTTCTTCCTTCGACGTAGTTTAACTCGCATCCTTCGCTGAAGTCTCTTTGGCTTGGATGGCCGAATCGACTAAATGTAATATACTCAAAATTTTTATACAACTTTATTGTGTATTTCTGTTGCGAAGGTGATGGTCCAGATTACGACCTCGTGGTGATCGGAGGAGGATCCGGGGGGCTAGCAGCAGCCAAAGAAGCGGCGAGTCTGGGCGCCAAAGTCGCGGTTTTAGATTACGTCACTCCGACCCCCAAAGGTACAAGATGGGGTCTCGGCGGGACGTGCGTCAACGTGGGTTGCATACCGAAGAAATTGATGCACCAAGCCGCTCTCTTAGGCGACGCCATAGAGGTGAGTTTTTGGTTGATTCGTAGGTGAAATATTGAGTAGATGACGTCAGTGGGCACTCCAGTAATAATTTTAACGCATTGCTGTGAAGTTATTAATTTTAGTCGGGGATGTGACGTCAATGTGGTTATCGACATGCACATGTAATTTAATTTTGTGGAATGGAATGATTTTTCTTGTTTTGATTCTGATGGATGTCGGCGTTATCGGTGCGTTTTTGTATCGATTGTGTTTTAGTGGCGTGCACACATGACACTTTCGGTGTTATTGCTGTAATTTGTGGTGTGAAAATTATATTCCACGTGTTAGAGTTTATTTGACTAATGTGGAGGCTTGGTAATTTGCTAATGTGGTTATTAACACAAAAGCTGTATTAAATACATTTTATGTGTGTTATTTGTATGGGTGAGGGATGAGTATGAAAAAAGTCGTGTCTAACGACACACAGCGACACAGTCGTCTTTCATGCTAATAATGTAATACATAATAAAAATAACGGAAACATTAGATGTAATACGAGCTTTTTTATTATTGTACTAAGTACTTTAAATTTTTATGACAACAAAGTATGAATTTAGTAGCAATTTTTATGCATGTTTAAAAGTAAGGTCAATATTGACAAATTATTGTTGGAGCAGGAAAGGTCATTTATTAAAAAATCTTTGGCACAGTCTGATAGAATGCGATTAGGATTACAATTTAAAATTATTTTCAAATATGGAGGGTATTACGTTTAAAAGTTACACACCAAAGTTATATTTTTTAAAATGTAATACCCCATATTTTTTACAGAATTTTAAGCATGCAAAAAATATACATCATATACGAAGGTTTTTAGTCAACAGTTTTTAAAATATTACAATATTAGCAATTGCATGTAAAAAAAATGGTCACATTTAAAAATTAGCAGCTCCTCCATCCAAAATAAAGGTGGAGAATATAATTATTTAAGTGTTCTTTTAACACAAATGTTGGTTCGAAAGAAGTCTTTCACAGAGAAGGTTCGACTATTTTTATAAAGTTATCTTTTTTTTTTGAAAGACATGAGGAAACTTAAGGGTGCCCAGTAGCAGACCGAAAAATGATCTAAATACAAGTTCATTGCACGGGCGTAATTTTAACTTTGAAAAAAAGATCGATATTTCAATTGATAGGTTATGTCTAAATCTCTGGGGAAGACACAGTATTTTTTAAAATAAGTGATTGTTTAGTGTTTAATTAATCGTTCATTCTTCAAAGGAAATTCCATTTTTAGACGAGGAGAGAGCATGTTTCGCTTCAAATTTTATATCAGTGCAAAGACAACGTTGAGCTCTATGGGGAAGAATCGGTTATTTTTGTTTAAAATTCATATTTATCTGAATATTTGCTTTTTAAAAAATATATTGAATAATGAAAATAACGTGAAACTAGGCAACCCTATTTACAAAGGTTCAGTGAAACACACCAGAGAGTCTTGCCGAACGACCCTTCAGGTAATCAGTTCAGATCATAAAACTCATAAATACTCTTAACGGACGAACATCCTTGAAACTCTTTTATAAATAGACTTCTTTCATTGCTGACATAATTTGATTTAAAAGTATGCAAATTTTTATAATTTTATACATTCTACTAAAATATTTTCTTTCAAAAAATGATTCGAATATTTTTTATTAATCTTCTTCCTTAGATACATCGGCACCTGAAAACTTGTTTGATTCACAGACCAGAGCGCGCTCAGGCCAATGTCGACTCTAATAAGCGTCCAGAATTTCTGCAGGAAATAGTTATTATTTAGATGCTTTTATTTGCAAACATATCACATCTCACATGTTTCACTCGATTTCGACATGCAACTATTTTTTTTTTTTAAACAAGAATTAATTCTTTAATTGCGTTTGATACTAACAAAACGTCCTAAATTAGCAATACTAGTGGAACCGTAATCATGCAATAGATTTTTTTTTTGGGAAAGTAGCTATTTTCATGTTTTAGCAGCATTGTGTTCTATTTTCTATTAATTTTTGCATATTTTTAATCACAATTTTGGTAGTTATTTTTTACTTTTACTTTCAGCAATAATAAATAATCCAAACATGTAAAAATCAAAAAAATAAAAATTGGAAAATGTAAAATTTAAAAATCGAGAAATTGAAAAATCGGATCATTGAAAAATCGAAACATCGAAAAATTGGAAAATCGAAAAGTTAAAAAAAATATGGAAAATCGAAAATTTTAAAAATCCCGAAAATTGAAAAATTGAAAGATTGAAGTACTGAAAACTCGAGAAATCAGAAATCTAGAATTTTAAAATCCAAACATGTAAAAATCAAAAAAATAAAAATTGGAAAATGTAAAATTTAAAAATCGAGAAATTGAAAAATCGGATCATTGAAAAATCGAAACGTCGAAAAATTGTAAGATCAAAAAGTTAAAAAAAAGATGGAAAATCGAAAATTTTAAAAATCCCGAAAATTGAAAAATTGAAAGATTGAAGTGCTGAAAACTCGAGAAATCAAAAATCTAGAATTTTAAAATCCAAACACGTAAAAATCAAAAAAATAAAAATTGGAAAATGTAAAATTTAAAAATCGAGAAATTGAAAAATCGGATCATTGAAAAATCGAAACATCGAAAAATTGTAAGATCAAAAAGTTAAAAAAAAGATGGAAAATCGAAAATTTTAAAAATCCCGAAAATTGAAAAATTGAAAGATTGAAGTACTGAAAACTCGAGAAATCAAAAATCTAGAATTTTAAAATCCAAACACGTAAAAATCAAAAAAATAAAAATTGGAAAATGTAAAATTTAAAAATCGAGAAATTGAAAAATCGGATCATTGAAAAATCGAAACATCGAAAAATCGGAAAATCGAAAAGTTAAAAAAAATATGGAAAATCGGAAATTTAAAAATCCCGAAAGTTGAAAGATTGAAGTACTGAAAACTCGAGAAATCAAAAATCTAGAATTTTAAAATCCAAACACGTAAAAATCAAAAAAATAAAAATTGGAAAATGTAAAATTTAAAAATCGAGAAATTGAAAAATCGGATCATTGAAAAATCGAAACATCGAAAAATTATAAGATCAAAAAGTTAAAAAAAAGATGGAAAATCGAAAATTTTAAAAATCCCGGAAATTGAAAAATTAAATATAGAAGAACTGAAAACTCGAGAAATAAAAAATCTAGAATTTTAAAAATTGAAAAATTTAAAGTCTAAAAATCGAAAAACTGAAAATCGGGAAATCCAGAAATCGAAAAATCGTAAGCTTAAAAAATCGAAAAATTGAAAAATCAAAAATCTGAAAAACCGAAAAATTGAAGAATTGAAGAACTGAAAAATCGAAACTTTGGGAAATAAAAAAAGATTATTTCAGAAATCGGAAAACTGAAAATTTAGAAACGTCAAAATTTGAAAAATTCAAAAATTGAAAAATCCAAACATTTAGAAATCGTAAAATTGAAGAGGATAAAAATTGAGAAATTGTATTATTGAAACATCGGAAAATGGAAAAACCGAAAATTTTAAGAATGGAAAAATTGAAAATGTCCAAAATTGAAATACTGAAAAATTGAAGCAGGACTATGCTACTTTTTAACATTTAAATAACATTTATTTGACAAAATTGTAAGATGACATCATCAGCTCCGAATAAATCTTGACTAACGATTTAACATGCTTCCAATAACTATAAATTGGAAAATGTTGATTTTTTTCCAAAAATCTTGACATCTAAGGTAAATACTCAACACGGATTCATAAACCATAAACGGAGGATATAAAATTTAAATTACATCTACTGTTTGTTGGTGACAAATTGTGGTGAGCGTTCTACCATTTGATAATACAATTTGAAATGTAAATTTTGTCTCTGTTCTAGAACTTTGTTCACTTATTCGTTCTAAAGTTCGACCAGATGGTCGAAACGGGTTAGTTCTTCGTAGTAGATGTGTATCAGATCAGCTCTAACGAAAGTCTGCTTAGAGTCGACATTGGCCTGAGTGCGCTCTGGTCTGTAGATCAAACAAGTTCTCAGGCGATGACATGTCCATAATTAGAATCTGCACTTTGCGTGCGCTGTTTTCTTTTTAAAGAAAAGACTGTTCAAAGCGGCTTAAAGTTTTTCATACAACATAGAATTTGAAAATTCATCAGACAAATCTGTTGAATTTTCTTGTCCACTTTGTTTACAAAAATAATTTGCACATTTAGAATGGTCCCCTAATATGTGGTTGGTTCCATTCAGGATGTCATTTGTTAAATTAAAAAAATTGTTGCATAGTTACAAAAAATAATTCTCACTGAAACCGATTTTGTACGCGATGACTGAGCACCCTTAAAATTAAAATTTATTACCTCGTATAAATAAGTTCAAACTCAATTTAGTTTTTAATGCGTATATTAAGAAGGTAACTAAAACATCAAGGGCAAAATTCTAAAAGTAGTGAACTTGCGATTTTTTAGCAATTTAAGTAACATGTAGATATGTATTAAGAATAATAATATAAATTTTATATTTAGAAATGGCAGATATGTATTTTGAAGATTATTGAACAAAAAAATTTTGTGTCGTTTTTTCCTTTTTTATGAAGCATACAACTGTAACAAAAAGTACAAATTTGGTTTGCAACTTAAAAAAAAAACACTGTATATAATTGAAAATAATTTCAAAATGGATAATGTGTTTTGAATTTCAACGGTACATCTTTCTAAAAAAGTTGAAGGGGTTGAGTGGGAATTGTGCTTGAAATTCCTGAAAGTCAATACCCATTGCTAGCTAATCTAAGACATAAGTCTGTATTTAACGCACTTAAAAAGAACTCAACATATTTAAAAAGAAAAATTGACACCATTTTCGCCAAAATAAGTTACCTAGTGCTATTCCTATATTAATTTTATAGACTTCTTTCCATGAATTAATTCGTCTAAAAATTGCAACAAAAAAATTCCAGGACTCCCAAAGCTACGGATGGCAATTTAGTAACCCCGAAAACATCAAGCACGATTGGGGAATTCTCAGACAGGCTGTGCAGAATCACGTGAAATCGGTCAACTGGGTGACCAGGGTAGAACTTAGGGACAAGTAAGTCAAAAACCGACTCTTTCATATACTCACTAAAAACAAACTCCTAAAGGAAAGTAGACTACATCAACGGATTAGGATTATTCAAAGATGCTCATACCGTGCAAACGACTACTAAACAGGGTGAACGTACAATCACATCAAAATATTTCCTAATAGCAGTAGGCGGAAGACCTCGGTACCCAAACATACCGGGTGCCACAGAATATGGCATCACTAGTGACGATGTCTTCAGTTTGGAAGACAGCCCAGGAAAAACCTTAGTCATAGGTGCTGGATGTATCCTTTTCGCGGATATCATTCTGTCATTCTCGTTACCCAATCATTCAAATTTTTGTTCTTAACTCAAACGAACAGATATCGGTTTAGAATGTGCCGGTTTTCTGCGAGGGTTGGGCTACGATGCTACCGTTATGGTACGATCCGTGGTCCTCAGAGGATTCGACCAACAGATGGCCGGTCTAATCTCGGCTGCTATGGAAGAAAGGGGTGTTAAATTTCTCCGCAAGTAATTATATAAGGGGTTGTTTCAAACAAAGGATTAATTTTACGCATTTTAGGTGTGTACCAAAATCGATCGAGAAAGCCATCGACGGGAAGTTGCTAGTGAAGTGGACTAGTGAAAATGGGCAAGAATTCGGTGATACGTTTGATACTGTCCTATTTGCGATAGGTAGAAGGGCTTTAACGCGGGAGATGCAGGTAGAAAAAGCAGGTGTTCAAGTAGCAGGAGATGGTGAAAAAATTGACGCTGTCAATGAACAGACGAACGTACCACACATATACGCCGTTGGAGATGTTTTATACGTATGTATAATTTGTTTTTAATTTTTTAACGTATGTTATAAATTAAAAGAATAATTCAACTAGATTTTTTATGATAATTTAGTAGTGTAAAACTGACGGTTGCTGACAGCGAATAGACGAGTACGATAATTTGAAATCGTGCAAATGTAATTAATTCACGTGATTTCGTGATCACTTACGATTTTTTCAGAACAGAATTATGTGGTTTGATTATATTTGATAATTGAAATCACTATCTGATTACAACACTTTTGTGTACGGTGTTAAAGTAGTTAAAGTAAACAAGTGCACTTTGTTCATAACTTTATTCATTGTAAGTTAATATAAAAAATTCCCGAATAAATCGATTGAAAATTTATTAAGGTAAATGGAGCAACTCTAAAAATATACTTAAAGTAACAGCTTGCGGTAGTACATTATGGTGTATAAACCCGTCTAATTATAAACTATTTATTTTCGGAAATAGGCAAACTGTTAACGAAACCTGTCACTTTAAATTTCTGGTTGCACACTTTAAAAATGAATTTATGATTTCAAAATGTTGTCATCTTCGTATTTATTTATCTATTTTTGATAGAAATCTTTGATGATACTGTAAAAATTTTCAAAACTCTAAATATGTACTATGTTTTTGTTAAATTGTGGATTTAGTGTATATTTTTAGTGGTCTCCGTTGCAGGAAGCCGCTATCAGATTTTGTTTATCCGTCAATTTCAGACCTCGTGGACGGTGAGTGATATGTATACGCAAACGGTTTTCTCTATCAAATTCTAGTCCTGAATTTAGGATACAAGGCTATTTTAAAACTTTCGTCATCGCTAAGTGGGTCATTTTTTGAATGTCGAAAACAATAGAAAATGAGCGAAAATCGCAAAACCGTGAAAGTTAGAATTAAATACTTTTTACAGAAGTAATTTGACTATGATAATTAACCAAGAAAAACTTTTAAAATAAAGTAAAAATTTTTGTATATTTTTATAAATGATTAATTGCATAGTTTCAAAACTATGAATTTGCTGTTGTAGTAATCTTTTAGTGTTACTGTTGTACATACGAGTGGTAGTAAGCACATAATAAAATTAACGTCCAGTAAAAATTTTATCGTAATATAAAACAAACAATACCGGATAAGTTTTAAAGTGTTATTTGTAAAAAAAATAGAAAAAATATTTGTTAAGTCGTAAGGAAATTTTGTATTGCTTGCTTATTTCAAATTTGGCCGAGTTTCTGATAGATTCCGATAGATCGGAAAGTAATTTAAGTGAAAACAACAATTGTACTACCTTCTGAAACTAGAAATTTTTGTTAATTAATTATTTTAGAAATGAAAAAGTTTTTTCAAATAGAATACCTTGTATCTTTTTGTATAGTCTGATTTACCTCTTGGTCTTTTTTACCACTTTCATTTTCAAAATTACGTTGTAACGTTGCCAAGTTATTCTAGTTTTTTTGAATTTTTTTTGTAATGTAGGGATTCACAAAAAATTGCAATATGGTTATTTTTAAAATCTGGGTCACAATATTTTGTGGAGAGCTAAATAAAAATAATTGGGTTTCAATCTCATTGCATCAAGGTCAGCTTCTAAAATAAATCGTAACAATTGTCAAATAACACATTTTGCATTTTATTAATCTTATGATAACCCAAACATCCCGCCTTAAATTGACATGTGAAAAAAAATTGAAAGCCCGCGAAAAATTCAAAAATTCCAAATTTGGCCTTGGCTGTGATCGTCTAACAAAATGGAACCTACGTTGTGTTTTTTTTATGGCGCACTGACAAAAAAACCAAGACCAAGATGTGCCGGTTGAAGTTTATGCTCAGCCACAAAAAAAAAAACCTTCCAAACTTTGAATGAAATCACTAAACGTTCTGAATCAATATTATTTAAATATCACAAATTTAACAAAAACAAATAAAAATCTGAATTAAAGTAACTAGATGCAAATACACAAGTTACTACAGGCGTGTGGCGGCAAATTTAAATTGTGGTAATCCACAAAAGAACAACATTTTAATAAAAAACTATGCAGCAGCAGCGGCACCAGAGCGCCATAAGAGTGTGGCGATCGAACTACGCCAATTTCATTCTAGAGCACAACAAAAAATACCTATAGGAGGCGTTGCAGCACTAGCGGAGTTTGGGGCTCCTGGTTGTGGCTATTCTCCTACCCACGACGGTGATTCTATGTATCGCAAGCACTGCCGCACATCACCTCTCCAGACAGAAGCCGACAGCGTCACATCATCGCGACCGCCCCTGACTTCTATTCAAGTCTGCAATCCCGCCAGCTTGACTAGGAACCGCGCCCTCCGCTTCCGCCACGTGTTTCTGTGTTATTTAACCTCAATTCCATTTAAATGTTTAATTTCTATGACTCTGATATTAAACTACAACTGAACAAGTGCTAAAGTTTTAGAAAGAGCAATAAACAACATTTAAATTCACCATACACTCTCGTGAAATTTTTAAACAGCAAATAATTCTTATTTGAGATTAAGATTGGAGATCAGATAATTTATATGACTGAAACATTAATCAACAAGAATTTACAAGAAAAAAACTATCAAAGATTTATTATAAAACAAAAAAAAAAGATCTGGTGTGAAGTAAAACATGGGTCAAACAAAAAAATTACGTGAGGTTAGAAAATGTAGCATGAAAATTTATGTTTAATTTAAATTGTACAGCAAAGAAAATTACTGTGTCGTTCAAAAAAATGCGTCAAAAATATGCGGTCGAGAAATGCGACTCATTCTGTGGCGTTGTGCAAATAATGATCTAAATCAACAGAATAAAATACATGTCCCACATGACCCACAATGTTTTTAATTTGTTCAATGAGATGGTACAGTTCAAACAGGTGCTCGGTTTGAAAATACGCTTTCAACATGGCCGCTGCCAGAACAAAGAATTTACTTGATGTTAAATTATGCCACACTTTATCAACGATTCAAACAAAGAATTTATATTACGTTAAATTATGCCATTATCCAAGTGATTAGTTACTTAAAACAATTAGCTTTGAGAGTTATATCGTGGCCTGTCCCCAGCTTATCCCAAACAAAGCACATGATAAATAAACAACACAAAATGTATCCAGCGTTGCGAGGAAAGCCTTTCGTTGCGAGAAATTTTTAATCCCCCCGTACCTCGGTCCACGATATTATGCATTCTACCGTCCTTTTCCCAGAGTGGGATATCGTTAGATTGATTCAACTGCCGTAATTAAACTATTAGCAATTTTGTGTGAGGAATTAAGAAGTGTTATAATGTAACACTTTAGTACGTATAAGCACCCAGAAACGTTATTCATAATAATTATTAGATAAACAAAGGATGCACCCTGACTAAGTGAATTTCATGAAATCTCGTAGCAAGTTCCTTTCACTGAACAAACTTATGACTGTTAAATTGTGTTAGATTCAGTTAACGATTAAAATCCTAACATGAACTGTGAATTTACAAAGAATAAAACAACTTTCCACTTATTTCCGCTTGGAAAAACCGCAAGAATTAGCTACGCGTGTCGGGGAAACTTTTGTTCTTTTTAAAGCATTGGATTCGGCTACTTATATTTAAAAAAAGTGATTCTAATCGATTTACCAGTGTTTTTCCTTTATTTGGATAAAATTTTCTTATCCAGTATTTAGTTTGTCGTGTTATTAGCTTTGATAATTTACTTTACGATAGGCATGTCAGGGACAAATTGTGTATTTATTTAGTAGGTAATCAGAAAGATTGGCACAAATCAGGTCGTTACCTGAATTAATAAATGTCTGTATTTTCCAACTTATTCCTGCAAATATTAGCCATTAAGTATTGAAAATTAACATATTTCAATCGATCAAAAAAAAGTTGACTCTTAATTTGCTTGCATTATTTTATTTGCGACAATTCGAGTTGATTTTTTATATTCTCATAAGCTGCCTTTGATATTTTTCTTTCATTTAATGAATGTAGTGTTCTGACATTTTAGCCTTATCATTTTTTGTGCATATTTTTGTACAGAATTTCTTATCTTGTGGATAAAATGTTTATATTTTGAATCTATATTAGAATCGCTAAACCGATGCAATGATCACGTGAAAATTGCCTGAACACTCTGCCTTAAACCCAAATAAAATAGGAATGTTAGTCAATTTTAGTATATTCGATAACTTTGAAATTCTTTCAACATTTTGTATCACCCGGTCCCGAATTAAGAAAAAAAATGTACATAAAGTGATGTTTTATTGATTTTCTTGTTTATTTATAGAAAAAACCAGAACTAACGCCCGTCGCAATCCATGCCGGCCGCCTGCTAGCCAGGCGACTTTTCGGCAACAGCACAGTCCAAATGGATTACGAAAATGTCGCTACAACCGTTTTCAGTCCACTAGAATACGGATGTGTAGGGATCAGCGAAGAAGTAGCGCTACAACGATACGGAGAAGACAACGTCGAAATATATCACGCCTATTATAAACCAACAGAATTCTTCATTCCACAGCGTTCGATAGCTCATTGCTACATAAAAGTGATTGCTAAACGTGGAGGAGATCAGAAGGTCTTGGGGATGCATTTCATCGGGCCTCAGGCTGGTGAAGTCATCCAAGGCTTTGCAGCGGCTATGAAGTAAGTCTTTGTTTATACATAAAGTGTTAATAATTTTAAACACGTTTTTGATTTGTTTTAGGTGTAACCTAACCATGAACGCACTAATGAGCACTGTCGGCATCCATCCCACAATCGCCGAAGAGTTCACCAGAATTAACGTCACGAAAAGATCGGGCAAAGATCCCAATCCGGCCTCGTGCTGCAGTTAAAAAATACAGGAAATGTCACACGTAAACACTCTTTACAATAAGTAATTGATTCACAAAATTCAGCTAGTAGTTGCGTATGTAAAGACACGTAGAGAACCAGCATAGTGAGACGATGTTTCCCGTGATATTACTTATCGTGAAAGGGCCACGCAAACTCCTTATTTTATCCTTATTTGTAAGTATACATTCCACAGTGCCTTTACCTCTCTTAAGTGAAATGTATACATACGGTCGATGACAGAATTTTGATTCCTTGTTCAATCAGTATCAAGACCAAGTGTACCTTAATTTAATTTTATTATTCTTTTGTTCTAACTAAATAAATTATAGATCACATTTATAAAGTGTTTTATTGGGAAGTCCCTGCTTCAATGTTTCTGAGATGACCCATTATGCACTTGAGTGCATTGAATGCGTTCTGGCCATGCGTGGGTTCGTTGTAGCCGGTGCATGCGTCAAGTGCTGATAAGTCGGTCCGCGAATAAAACTTCTGCAAGAACTTCTTGATGTTTTCTATTAGTATTTCTCCTTTTTCGCTTTGGTAACCCTGTTTCTTGTAACTACAAGCTAGAAATTCTTTATATTTATTGTCGTTGGCGGGTATGTTACCCGCTATTGCTGCATCGACAACTGAACGCTCGATTCCCGTTTCAGCTAAACATTCCAGACCTATTTGGTACCGTTGCTTATGATTGAGTTCACGGGAGCCAATTTCGTGCTGAATAAAAATACAATATTTTACTGAAACTACGAAAAATAACGTTACCTGTAATAATAGAACAAAGATGATGACAAATTTAACACTTTTCATTTTAAAATTTAGTTGTGTGAGACGTTTTGTTGTGAAAAACTAGTACACTGAGCTTGTTTTGGATGTAATCTAAATTTTACTGATATGAAGAAGCTGTTAGGTCAAATTTTGTTTTGTTTAGATTTGCGCATCATCAAACTTTCTTACGTAATGTTAAAGTTAGCGTCAGATTTGATTTTGGATTGTTTTTTATGTTAGTATCGCGAGCTATTTTTTCAGTATTTATGACCTTCCAGGTTTTTTTTTTCATTGAGATCTATTTATTTCACATGTGACGCGTTCCATACTTGGCTACTGCAGTTCAGTTATATAGTGAAATATTGCGTTTGTCGAAAATCAATATTGATTTAAAACATTATTTATTTTTTGTTTCTTTTGCATAATTTGGCGAGAAAAACTGAAAAATTATTAGTTTCACTAACTGAACAGAAGCTGCCGTTTTATGTGTATTACTTGTTGAAAACAATTTTTTTTTCAGCATTTTCTACAACAAAATTATTGTGGTGTCCGAATTTGAAAAATTAAATTTCGCGCCGAGAACCAAAAATCAATGCCTCGAAACCGCGTTCGAAAAATAAAAATATTTTCGAAACTATACGAATTTGGTGTTTAGTTCTACTTCTTGGTGAGTGAATGCACCGAAAACACGTGTTAAAATTAACAAGGAGCAGGTCTAAATACAAATTAATCGCATTCGACGCCACAATCCCCCCTCAACGAGTGTAATTAGTGTAAGATTAATAATAATTAGCGATTTTCTATTCTGAAATATTGTGAAAACTGGCGAATTCGTCACCATGTGTTATTTTTTTGTTTTATTGTTTGTAAATTCACAGTTCAAGTTAAATTTTTATGTATTCCTGTTTATAATGGGATTTAACTATGTATGTACAATAACGTAAATATTCATATAAAATATGTGGCGGAAATTCATTTATTCAGGCCCAACTTATTTTTTAATTTTTAGTTAAGTTCTGGATGCTTTTACTTAATAAGTTATTACATTATTCACACTTCATAACTTCGCACTCAAGATTTATAACAGTTCATTTATGGCATTTAAACTAATCTTAAAAATTGATCCATTTTGAGAGAAAGGACTTTGCAAATTATCACCAGTAAAATGAATATCGTTCTGAACTCCAACATTTTGATTTTCAACATTTATTGTCGAATTATTATTTTGATTTTGACAGTACATATTTAATATGTTCCTGTTGTGTTTATTTCATATGTGCATTGTTTGTATGTTATATGGCGATTCGTTGATGGGTTTGCTATGTGAGACATTTCTGATTTAATTAATAACTTTTTTTTAAACAATTTGCCCGCCATATTTTGCATTTTGACTTAAGGGTACTTTTCCAGTCTTGGGAATTGGAATTCACCCATTTGCATTTGAACACATTCCTCCATTAAGAAAAGAAAAAATACACACACACACACACAAACGTAGGATTCGATTTTGTAGACGATCACAGTTCAAGGCTAAAGTTTGAATTTTCCGCGGGTTTAAAATTTCATTTTGGTGAGATGTTTAGGTTATCAGGTTATCACAGTATCATCCAAATGCGTATTTGTTGTGATAACCCAAACATCCCGCCTTAAATTGACATGTGAAAAAAAATTGAAAGCCCGCGAAAAATTACAAAATTTGGCCTTGGTTGTGATCGTCTAACAAAATGGAACCTACGTGGTGTGTTTTTTTTTGCGGCGGAATGCGTTCAGATGCAAGTAGTGGACTCCAAGGTTGGAAAACTACCGCTAAATAAAACGCAAAATATATGGAGGACACAAATAACTATTATTCCTCCACTGACAAAAAAGAAGAAAAAAAAAGCTGCGACTAAGTTGCGCAAAATATTTGAATATCACAAATTTGATAAAAACAAATAATGATGTAAAGTAACTGGATGCAAGTACACAAGTTATTACGGACGTGTGGCGGCAAATTTAAAATTATGACAGTCAACAAGAGAACAAAATTTTAATAAAAAAAACTATGCAGCGGCAGCTGCACCAGAGAGCAATCGGAATGTGGCGATCAAACTATCTCAATTTCATTCTAGAACACAGAAAAAATACCCACAGGGGGCGTTGTAGCACGAATGGAGTTTGGGGCTCCTGGTCGTGGCTGTTCTCCTACCCACGACGGTGGTTCTATTCTACAGAAACCGACAGCGTCACGTCATTCCGACCGCACCATCTGCGTCTTTTATGCAAATGGTGCGACCGACAGCTCAACAAAGAACCGCGCACTGTACTTTCACCACGTGTTTTGGTGTTATTTACCTCAATTCCATTTAAATGTTCAATGTCTATGACTCTGATATTAAACAACAACTGAACAAGTGTTAAAGTTATAAACAACATTTGAATTCGCCATACACTCTAGTGAAATATTTTAAAGCAGCAAAGAATTCTTATCTGAGATAAAGATTGGACATCAGACAATTATATGATGAAAGCATTAATCAACAAAATATTTACTTGGAAAAACTCGCAAAGGTTTATAAAAACAAAAAAATCTGGTGTGAATTAGAACTTGTGCAGATAAAAATTACGTGAGATTAGGAACTGCAGAACATGAAAATTTACGTCTGGGAAATACAGTAAAACAAGTCCTCATATTTTGTTGGAGTTATAATGATTTTAAAATTGTTTCTTTTCCTACGTTTAACAACTAAACAATTCATTATCACAATAACTAGTAATAAAACTTTTAGTTAATATTTTTCTCAAATGTGCAAATAATGATCTAAATCGAAGGAATAAAATGCACGTCCCATATGACCCAAAGTGTTGTTCATTTGTTCAACAAGATTTTACAGTCCAAAAACATGTGCTCGGTTTCAAAATAACCTTTCAACATGGCCGCTGCCAGAACAAAGAATTTACCTGATGTTAAATTATGCCACACTTTATCAACGATTCAAACAAAAAGTTACATTATGTTAAATGATTCCTTGATCCAAGTGATTCGTTACTTAAAACAATTAGCTTTGAGAGTTTATATCGTGAACTGTCCCCAGCTTAACTCAAACAAAAACATGATAAATACCTAACCACAAAATACATCAGGCGTTGCGAGAAAAACTTCTCGGTGATATAATTTTCCACGTTGCGAGAAAATATCTGGGTGATGTAATGATGATATGATGATAACAACTGCTTATGGAGAGAAAATTTTAATCTCCTCTTTCCTCAGTGCACGATATTATGAATTATACCGCACTTTCCACCGTCTTTTTCCAGAGTGGAGAGTGGGGCAACGTCAAACTCATTTAACTGCCGTAAATGAACTATTAGCAATCTTGTGTGGGGAATTAAGAAGTGTTATTATGTAACACTTAAGTATACGCATCCAGAAACCTAATTCATAATTTGGTAAACAAAAAAAGAGTCCTGACTAAGTGAATTTCATGAAATCTCCTATCAAATGCTATATCTGAACGAATCTAATGCCTGTTAAATTGTGTTAGAACTAGTAACGATTAAAATCCCAACATGAACTGTGAATCTACAAACAATAAAACAACTTTACACCACGTGTTAGTATCGGTTGAAAATTGACTTATTTCCGCTTGAAACGCCCGCAAGAATTAGCTACGCGTGTTGAGGAAACTGTGGCGTCGTCGTCGTTACGATTAATTTTCTTTAAACAAAAGCTCTCCCATTTTTATTAACTACCAAACCAACTAAACTTAACCTAGCTTACTAACCACGTGGTTTCACACACAACAAACAAACCAAAAGTGACGCCACCGAACAGAATGACTCATCTACCAAGTCGGCCAACTTCTACCAACCCTTTCACTAGATAGTACCAAAAAATCCCTAGGAGCCACCAACTATCAGAAAAGAACTAAACGTGCACATGGTTGCGTAAATTTTGTGGTCCAAGAAGAATAATGTTTTAAACATGACGTTGGTAACACCCAAGGTTGTTTTCCGGGTTGGAACCGTGTTAACTGAGTTTTTGGGCTCAACGTTTCGCACACTTTCGTAAGTGGTACCTTCAGGAGCAGGGTTAAGAATAAGGCAAAAGAGCACGGTAACTCAGTATGTCAATCATACCAGAGGCGAAACTCTTTTAACACGGTTCCAACCCGGAAAACGATCATGTATTTATTCCGATCGTGCAAACTTCCGAAATTAACACTCAAGGTATTTACAAAAAAAGGAAGACCAGCCTTAAGAAATGGAAATAGGCCACTACAATGCGAAGCCGGAAAAACTTAAAAACGTTGACAAGCTTTTAAAAGGCAATTTTGGAACTCATTGGAAAAAATAGTTCGCGGTTTTAGGACTACAGAATTTTTAGGATGTTTTACAGAGAGAACAGGCAGTCCTTGAAGCACAGAAAAATGAAGAAATCTTATGTTAACCTGAAGATTTGTTAAATTTGTGCTTTTTAATATGTTTATTATTATTATTTTTTTATTTTGCAAGCAATAAATCATTTTGTAAATAATGTTTAATTATTACTGAATTTGAAATACACGTAAAATCGAGAAAATTGCAC